TCCTGAATATGCGAGGAAAGGCATATATTCCATAAAGTATGATGTTTATAGCTTTGGAGTTGTACTACTTCAAATCATAAGTGGAAAGACGAATACACGTTTTTACGGTGAAAACGAAGACTTGCACCTTTTAGAATATGTGAGTTACTTGAATTCATATCATTATTTGCACCATTTGATTTGCTAGTGAAGCTTCTCACCTAGAGTTGACAGCTTGAAATTCATTGACTTGATGCAGGCATATGACCTGTGGAAAAACGGGCGAGGAATGGAATTCATTGATCCATTTTTGGATGACTCATCCTCACCTTGTAAACTACTGACATGCATGCAAGTTGCTCTGCTGTGTGTCCAAGAAAATCCAGACGCTAGACCAACAATGCTAGAAGCTTTCTCAATGCTCAAAAATGATGATTCCCAGGCTATTGCTACTCCTGAAAGGCCAGGATTTTCAGAAAGAAAGAAAGGGGACATGGAAACCGCATCCTCATCCCAGCAAATAATGTGTTCATTCAATGATTCGCAAGTTTCCCAATTGGAACCCCGTTGACAATCCAACCTGTATTAAGCTAAAGAAATTATAACTTAGCTTCTTTCGTCCTGACCTCTGTTCTTCTTCCATGCACTCATTAAATCTTTGTTGATATTAGTTGCTAAATGTTTTTTGTCCATCTACAAATAGAGTAGAACTTCTGTTGAAGTCTCCTTCCACTTAAAAAACGAGGGAAGGACATTTTCCACCATACAAGTCTGGCCTTGATCTTCACAGGGCTGTACCTACCAAGTCTCAAAAAGAAAGCGTTTATAAAATGCAATGCCCTTTCTGGAAATAGCTATTCCAGCTTGGGTGGAAAGTCATTGAAAGTTCATTCCCAATCCTTGTTAATTTCCGAACAAGAAAGACCAGCCTAAGAGTCCAGAGTGTTTACGCTCTACAGATTTTACGAAGGGCACAAAAAGACTCCTGAGAGGGCATCCTCCCATGGCACCGCCCAGAGAGATAACATATTCTATTGGCAGTTTCACCAATTGCATCAACTAGGGTATTCAACGTGGATGTCCAGTAACAATAGGTTTTTATTAGATCACAGTGACGGTATGCCGCATGTCAAGTTAAAAAAAAATTAATGTGAAAAAAATATTTATTTATTGTTGATAAAGAAATATTGAAAGATATATAGAGATTTATGTGATTTGACATTGTCATCTTTATAATACAATGATAATCTACACAACCATTAAAAATATAATTTGATTTAAATATATTTTTTTAAATATTAAAATAATAATTATTATAAATTCAGTTAACTTGTCAAATTCATCACTTAGATTATGAAATCTTAATAATTTTATAAAAAATAAAAAAATATATTAAACTCAATTCATAATCAACTCCATTTAAAAGGATAAAATTAAAAATAAAATTTAACAAAAAAAAATGAACCAAGTCAATCAGGGTTAGCCTGTCAAACTTGAATTATAAGATCAGGATAATCTCATATAATACAAATTAAAATAAATTATGAAGTTCAATTCTCATTTAATTCAATATTATATAATGATATTAAAAACAATCAATTAAAAAAAGACACAAAAAATCACTTGATTCAACCTAACTTAATCAATCAAACCTTTAATCCTGGTTATGAAACTATGACAATTTCATAGAAGACAAATCAAAACAAATTATAAAGTCCATAATTAAGGTCATGATACTATAATAACTTAATTAAAAACAAATAAAAAAATAAAGTATAATTCTTAATTATCTCAATATTAAAAAATTAAATTGAAAAAAAATTAAAAAATTATCAAAGTCAACCTAGATTAACAAGTCAAATTTAAGTAATATTGGGATAACTTCATAGAAAAAAAATTAAAGTTTGATTCTCAATCAATTCAGTGTTAGAGAATAAAATTGAAAAAAAAATCATGTTAACTTGGCTAAGCCGCAAACATTGCTACTTAAGTTATGAGATCGTGATAATCCAATAAAAAATAAACCAAAATAAGTTATAAAGTCAATACAAGAAAATCTAATATTAAAGGATAAAATTAAAAAAAATTCTAAAAATATTGAAGATTAAAATAAAAAATACCTTGGTATTCCATTATTCACCATGTTAGGGCATTTGGTTTTAGTTAATGAATAACATTCTCTATTCAATTTTAATTTTTTATCCAAAAAAAATTAATATAAACCCATAAGTCATTTAATTTAATTTATATGGAATGATAGTCATTATTGTCAGGTAAATTCATAATAAAGTAGAGACTAACACGCTTTTACATAAAAAAAAGAATATTAAAAAAACTAATAAGATAAAATTTGTTAGACAAGCCTTTTTTTTATGAATTTTTATCAAAAACTTCTCTATATAAAGAAAATCATCTCAAAATTAAACCCAATAAAAATATATTGGGCTCAAAACCTAATCTAATAACATAAAAAAGAAGTGCTACTGAAAAGGGAGGAAAATATGGGCTCAGAATTGGGCCCAATAACAAAGGGAGAATTTGTCCAAGCCACCGAAACATCCCAACTTTTTTTATAAAAAAAAAAATCCATCAAGACCCATTAAACAACTGTGAAAAGGCCCATAATTAAATATTAAAATAATAATTATTATAAATTCAGTTAACTTGTCAAATTCATCACTTAGATTATGAAATCTTAATAATTTTATAAAAAATAAAAAAATATATTAAACTCAATTCATAATCAACTCCATTTAAAAGGATAAAATTAAAAATAAAATTTAACAAAAAAAAATGAACCAAGTCAATCAGGATTAGCCTGTCAAACTTGGATTATAAGATCAAGATAATCTCATATAATATAAATTAAAATAAATTATGAATTTCAATTCTCAATCAATTCAATATTATATATTGATATTAAAAACAATCAACTAAAAAAAGACACAAAAAACCACTTGATCCAACCTAACTTAATCAACCAAACCCTTAATCTTGGTTATGAAACTATAACAATTTCATAAAAGACAAACCCAAACAAATTATAAAGTTCATAACTAAGGTCATGATACTATAATAACTTAATTAAAAACAAATAAAAAAATAAACTATAATTCTTAATTGCCTCAATATTAAAAGATTAAATTGAAAAAAATTAAAAAATTAACAAATTCAACCTAGATTAACAAGTCAAATTTAAGTAATATTGGGATAACTTCATAAAAAAAAAATTAAAGTTTGATTCTCAATCAATTCAATGTTAGAGAATAAAATTGAAAAACAAATCATGTTAACTTGGCTAAGTCGCAAACATTGCAACTTAAATTATGAGATCGTGATAACCCAATAAAAAATAAACCAAAATAAGTTATAAAGTCAATATTAGAAAATCTAATATTAAAGGATAAAATTAAAAAATAAATTCTAAAAATATTGAGGATTAAAATAAAAAAATACTTGATATTCCATTATTCACCATGTTAGGGAATTTGGTTTTAGCTAATGAATAACATTTTCTATTCAATTTTATTTTTTTATCCAAAAAGAACTAATGTAAACCCATGAGTCATTTAATTTAATTTATATGGAATGATAGTTATTATTGTCAGGTAAATTCATAATAAAGTAGAGAATAACATGCTTTTACATAAAAAAAAAAAGAATATTCAAAAAAATAATAAGATAAAATTTGTTAGACAAACCCTTTTTTTTATGAATTTTTGTCAAAAACTTTTCTAGAAAGAAAACCATCTCAAAATTAAACCTAATAAAAATATATTGGGCTCAAAACCTAGTACAATAACATAAAAAAGAAAGTGCTACTAAAATGGGAGGAAAATATGGGCTCAGAATTGGGCCCAATAACAAAGGGAGAATTTGTCCAAGCCACCGAAACATCCCAACTTTGTTTATAAAAAAAATAAAAAATCATCAAGACTCATTAAACAACTGTGAAAAGGCCCATAATCATTTGAAATATTTTCGAGTTTGCCAGTATCATATGATATGAGAGAAATTTAGTTTTCGAGATAGAAAAATATTGTGTTTTATGGGCTCGAGGTTGCTCGTGAGTTTTCAATTTCTCAGAATGGACAAACAAGATTTAATTAATTATTGGAAGCATTGTAACTAGACTGGCTAGGCATATCTTCAAGAAATCTGATTTGTTCAAGCTACAGCATGTATCTTGACTGCTGCTTGTTTTTCTAATCAGAAATGTCTGATTCTCCTGTCCAGTTTCTCGTGATTACACTGTTTTATTGTTCTCGAGTCCTATCCTTCTTTTTTTATTCGGTGTAAAGAATGGCAACCTAATCCGAACAACTTTCAGCTTGATTCAAAACAATATGTTTTTTTAAAAAAAATATATAGATAAAGCTATTGAATGGGTCTGGAGGGACGGCTTCTAGAGATGTTATAATGGTTATTTACCTAATCCTCTAGAACTCGTGGAGATAATATTGTGCGGAGGGAGTGTGATAAATTTTGTTTTTTTGGTATATTTTAAAAATATTTTTTAATTATTTTAATATACAAAAAAATTTAATTAAGTAATTTAAATATTTTATAAAAATAATAATATCAAATTTATAGCTTGTTTGAAAGTATGATAATGATAATAATTTTAGGTTTTTTTATCGATAATGTATTAAAATAAATTATTTTATTTTAAAAAAATTATTTTACACATCAAAAAATAAAAAAAACATACAAAATTTTATTTTAAACTAAAAAACAAATTTTTGAAAAAAAACGATAGAAACCATGTTCCCAAACAATCAGTTGGTGCTCAACACCGACGCACTTTGAGTGGCATGTATAAATCACAATCGCTAGGTAGTCAAATGGCCTCTTTTCTTGTAAAACAAGCACCAGTGCTCAAAATAGCTGACTTATTCCTTCAACTTCCAACAATGCCAGGATAAGCACAACCATCCAAAACATGTACCAACGAGAAATGAGTACAAAAAAGAATTGTCAACCTTTTCGTTTTCATAATCTCTTGATATTTATCTGCATATAACCATATATAGGCACAAATCTTTGACAATGAGAGCATTACCCCAAAGCACTCAATGGCTAGCCACAAATTGGTTCTTCTCCTTCCAATCATTGAACTCTTTACCATCACCACCGGATATGTCATGGCTTCACCTCCAGCTGTCAAAGCTGCGTATTGGCCTTCTTGGTCTCAAACTTTCCCCCCTTCAGCCATAGACACCACTTTGTTCACACACATCTTCTATGCCTTTCTCTTGCCGAGTAATGTCACCTTCAAGCTCGAAGTATCCGAGTCAACTGCTTCCCTGCTCAACAATTTCACTAGCACCCTTCATCAGAAAAACCCACCAGTGAAGACACTAGTCTCAATTGGGGGAGGTAGTAGTGATCCAAAACTCTTTGCTAGAATCGTGTCAAATAAAGGATCACGTAGCATTTTCATAGATTCAGCAATGGAAGTGGCGAGAAGACATGGATTTGATGGGCTGGATCTTGACTGGGAATTTCCGAAGAACCCAAAAGAGATGGTTGACTTGGGCCAGCTGTTTAAAGAATGGAGAGTTGCTATCAGAAAGGAAGCCAAGTCCACCCACCGGTCTCCTCTGTTGCTCACGTCTGCCGTCTACTTCTCCGTCGACTTTCAATGGGACGAGACCTACCGGAAGTATCCAGTGGCATCCATCGCCAAAAGCTTGGATTGGGTTAATGCAATGTGTTTTGATTATCGTGGTTCATGGGACACTTCGGCTACAGGAGCTCACGCGGCATTATACGATCCTAACAGCAACATAAGCACGAGCTATGGGCTTGCGTCGTGGGTTCGTGCTGGTGTGCCTGGAAACATGGTGGTCATGGGCCTGCCCCTGTACGGGAAGACTTGGCTGCTTAAAGACCCGAAGGTAAATGGAATCGGAGCACCGGCCACGGCGGCCGGTCCTGGAGATGATGGCATCCTGACATTTTCCCAGGTGGTGAAATTCAATAAAGAGAATGGTGCTACCGTTGTGTATGATGCCAAAACTGTATCCACGTATTCTTATGCCGGGACTTCTTGGATCGGATATGATGATAGCCGATCCACAACTGTGAAGCTAAAGTTTGCTCAGGCGCTTGGTCTTCGTGGTTACTTCTTTTGGGCCCTCAGTTATGATAGCGAGTGGGAAATCTCAAAACAAGGTAAACCTGTTTCCGGCCATGAATTACAGCTACCATTTCGTGAATTATTTTAGGGTACGTTAACGTTCTCTTCGATTATTTTTATTATTATTTTTTCTTTCTTTTTTCTTTCTTCAGCTTCGAGGGCATGGATCATTGGATAAAAAGGTTTGGAGCTTTCTAATTTCCAGGAGGTTGTGGGGTCTCGACTTGAAGCCATGATGGAAAATGGAAGATCTAATTTTATTTGTGTCCCAAAATATTTGATTAGTCGAGTTAATAAAAGTAAGATTAATCGTGTTTCAAATGATAGGCACTGAGATTTTAGTTTAGAACTACTATTTGTTTTTTTTTTAATTACTCGATTAAAATGTTGATTAAACGACTTTCATGCGTGTATTTGTGGAAATAGAAATAAGAAAACCACTCTTCTGATTAAACACACGCCCATGGAAAAAAAAAGGTTGGCCGAGTCATTCAACGAATATGCTTTGGTTTCAACTCTTCCCCTTTGAAAAAACGTAGTTGTTAAATTCAGTTTAGCGTGTGAATTTGTAATTTGTAAAATCATATTCTTCTTTGAACCGAGTTTCATTTCAAATTAGTTTGGAGATTTATCAGATAAATCTTATATATTCAATCAAATCTATGTAAAATCTACTCATGTAGCTCTAATTTTTTTAAAAAAATTATTTGAAATAACTTCTTTATTTAAAAAAATAAAATAAAATAATTTTAGGATTGATAACTTATTATTCAGATCAAAACTTTACAAGAAAAACATATGGCTAGGCAAGGGAAAATGTATTTTATACGAATGCTTCTTCTTATTTATTTTACATGTAACTCGTTTCTGATTTTTGCTATACTGCAAGTTAAATTAAAAAAAAATATGAACATAAAAAAATTATTAGACTAAAAAAATTTATTTAATATTATTATTAAACTAGTTACTTTTAAATTCACCTTATCTAACTTCTTTTCTAATCTAAATTTAAAATAGCATACTTATTTAATAAAACAATCACTAATAATCAAAATAGCTGACCTATTCTTTCCATTTCCAACAATGTCAGGATAAGCACAACTATACAAAACATGTACCAACAAGAAATGAGTATACAATATAGCATATTCGTATATTATTACGAGTTTATAAAATAAATATGCTTAATAATTTTATAATTATAAATTAATACTAGATGAGTGATAAAAATTAAAAGTATAATGAAACTAATATTTTATGATAAAAAAAGTTTTATGTTGGTGATCAAAAATTTATAGACTAAAATAGCAATTCACAGCGTCTTACAAGGAAAGATATAATGCTTTCTTTATATGATTTAATTTTTTTATTAATAAAAAAAACTACAAAACTAAATTATCAACCAGCTTAATATTAAAAAAATAAAATAAAAAAATATAATGTTAAAAAAAATCATAACAAAAAATACAGGAAAAAACAGGAAAAAAAACATGTTGGAAACACTATAACAATCCACAATGTTTTATAAGAAAAACTATAATGCTTCCTTGCATGGTTTAGCTTTACTTGTAATTATAATTCTTAATCAGCTTAATATTAAAAAAATAAAATAAAAAAATAATTTAAAAAAAGCATAGAAAAAGAAAAACTATGTGGGAAGACACTGTAACAATCCACAATGTTTTATGATAAAAGTTATAGTATTTTCCCCACATTATTTATCTTTATTATAATTATCAACCGACTCAATATTAAAAAAATAAAATCGATAAAGATAATTATAAAAAAAAATCATAACAAAAAACACATGTGGGAAAACACTATATCAATCCACAGTATTTAAAAAAGAATTACAAAGCTAAATTCTAACAAACTCAATGTGAATAAAATAAAATCGACAAAGATAATTTTAGAAAAAAATCATACAAAAAAGAAAACATAAAAAAAAAATCATATGGAAAAACATTAAAGCAATTCATAATATTTAAAAAAATTACAAAGCTAAATTCTCAATAAACTCATTATTTAAAAAATCAACAAATACAATTTAAAAAAAAATTATATAAAAAAAATATAAAAATATTATAGCAATAGCTTAATATTAAAAAAAATGATAAATAATTCTAAAAAAAATCATAATAAAAAAATTATATGAGAAAATACTATAGTAATTTATTTAAAAAAAATATAAAACTAAATTTTTAACTAACTTAATATTAAAAAAAAAATTAAAAAAATAATAATAAAATACGATATCAATCCATAATGACATAAAAGAAAAGTTAAGCATTTTAGCTATAGTGTAATAAAGAATTGTCAACGTTTTCGTTTTCATAATCTCTTGATATTTATCTGCATATAACTATATATAGGCACAAATCTTTGACAATGAGAGCATTACCCCAAAGCACTCAATGGCTAGCCACAAACTGGTTCTTCTCCTTCCAGTCATTGTACTCTTTACCATCACCACCGGATATGTCATGGCTTCACCTCCGGCTGTCAAAGCTGCGTATTGGCCTTCTTGGTCTCAAACTTTCCCCCCTTCAGCCATAGACACCACTTTGTTCACACACATCTTCTATGCCTTTCTCTTGCCGAGTAATGTCACATTCAAGCTCGAAGTATCCGAGTCAACTGCTTCCCTGCTCAACAATTTCACAGCCCCCCCACCGGTCTCCTCTGTTGCTCACGGCTGCCGTCTACTTCGCTGTCGACTTTCAATGGGACGAGACGTACCGGAAGTTTCCAGTGGCATCCATCGCCAAAAGCTTGGATTGGGTCAATGCAATGTGTTATGAATACCGTGGTTCATGGGACACTTCGGCTACAGGAGCTCACGCGGCATTATACGATCCTAACAGCAACATAAGCACGAGCTATGGGCTTGCGTCGTGGGTTCGTGCTGGTGTGCCTGGAAACATGGTGGTCATGGGCCTGCCCCTGTACGGGAAGACTTGGCTGCTTAAAGACCCGAAGGTAAATGGAATCGGAGCACCGGCCACGGCGGCCGGTCCTGGAGATGATGGCATCCTGATATTTTCCCAGGCGGTGAAATTCAATAAAGAGAATGGTGCCACCGTGGTGTATGATGCCAAAACTGTATCCACGTATTCTTATGCCGGGACTTCTTGGATCGGATATGATGATAGCCGATCCACAACTGTGAAGCTAAAGTTTGCTCAGGCGCTTGGTCTTCGTGGTTACTTCTTATGGGCCCTCAGTTATGATAACGAGTGGGAAATCTCAAAACAAGGTAAACCTGTTTCCGGCCATGAATTGCAGCTATCATTTCGTGAATTATTTCAGGGTAGGTTAACGTTCTCTTTGATTATTTTTTCTTTCTTCAGCTTCGAGGGCATGGGTCATTGGATAAAAAGGCTTGGAGCTTTCTTTGTGGGATCTCGACTTGAAGCAATGAAGCCACGGCCATGGAGAATGGAAGATCTCATTTTATTTGTGTCCCAAAATTATTGATTAGTCGAGTTAATAAAAGTAAGATTAATCGTGTTTCAAATGTTAGTCACTAAGATTAAAATGTTGATTAAACGACTTTCATGCGTGTATTTGTGAAAATAGAAATAAGAAAACCACTCTTCTGATTATACACACGCCCATGGCAAAAAAAAAAAAAGGTTGGCCAAGTAATTCAGTAAGTATGCTTTCGTTTCAACTCTTCCCTACACACGCCCATGGCAAAAAAAAAAGAAGAAGGTTGGCCAAGTAATTCAATAAGTATGCTTTCGTTTCAACTCTTCCCTTTTGAAAAAACATAGCTGTTAAATTCAGTTTAGCCTGTTTCAGGCTGAGTTCGTTTCAAATTAATTTAAAGATTTATAGTTAAATATTAAATTTGAGGGAGATTCAATCATGATAATTTCAATTATTTAAAAAATAAAAAAATATCTTCATTTGAAAAAACAAAATAATATATTTTTATAATTGATTAAATTAATTCAGTTAAATTTATGTTTCAGTTAAATTTATTTGAGATCTAATCATATGACAATTTCAACTATTTAAAAAAATCATTGTCCGAAATAATATCTTCATTTAAAAAAGCAAAATAATATATTTTTAAGATTGATCTGAACTTGCTTAATAAACTCTTTATTCAAGACTAATTGTGATAAATATGTTAAAAAAAAAACTTAAAAGAAAAACATTTCAACGGGCAAAAGGAAATATTTCATGTAACTAGTTTCTTTTTTGGATCGTATTATGCTATAAGTCAGAATATGCTGCAAGTCAGAGTAAAAAATATATAAATGTAAAAAATTATTCTTTGATATTATTATTTAATTTAATCTAATGAGTCAATTTTAATTTTTTTTATTTAATCCAAGTTTAAAATTTGTTTTTATGAAAATTGTTTTAATATCACTTAATTAACTTAATAAATTTAAAGTTAACCTGAATAATCATTAAATAATATGGTTTGGTTTAAAAAAATTAAAAAAAATATCTTTTTATATGTCAAGATGGATATAATAAATTGATTTGAATTTTGCAGTTTAATTTACTAAAATCATAACTTAAATCATAGATTATATTAGATTTTACAACTTTATTTTTTAAACTAATTTTT